TAGGAGGACGAGTATGCATGCTCCCCGTTACCGAACTTAAAGCGCTTGGCTGGAACATCCGTGACCTCGACATGCTCCTGAAACCCTTTGACTTCACGTCGAAGCTTCATCAGGGCCTCCAGCGCAGGAAGGGAGGCGACCGTCTCGGTCGCACCTGAATCAACCACCGCGTAGCCAGGGAGCTCACCGTCGGGCACCACGCGGGGGTCGTCAGGGCAGGCACGAAAGATCGAGTCCGGATCTCCCACAGTGACAATCTCCTCGATGGCCCAAGCCGCTGCCTCGTAGTCATCCTCGGTTTCGGTGGTGTCGGTCACAGAGAACACCTGGGCATCAATGAAGTTCACATGTCCGCCCTTGCCTCCTTTTCCCGATCTGGCCACCGAGCGCTTGGGGCACGACCTGAAGTCATGGCCTTTGTCCCCACAGATGAAGCATCCGCTGTAGGCAGGATCGCCTACGGCGGCTCCGAGGAATCCTCCTGGCCCATAGCCAGGTTCTTCAACAGAAGTCGCCGCAAAGGTAGTAGGGGCCGAGGACACGGCTCCCTTGTGTTTCCCTTTGCCTTTACCTTTCCCCTTGGACTTCCCCTTGAAGGAACCGCTCTTGCTCCCAGGGTTGTAGGTGTAGAAACCTCTGCTGAGATTCCTCGCCTTGATGGCCTGTCTGGCCTGGATGAAGCCACGGGCTTTCTGCTCCGCCACAGCGAAAGCCTCGTCCACCTCCTTCTGCTCCTCGATGGTGAGGTCGGCATAGCCATCCGGATCTTGCCACCAGGCTCTCTCTTCCCATCCAGGATCTGACCACCAGGCGGCTCCCTCATCCGAGTAGCTCCAATCTTCAGGGGGTCCTTGATACCACGCGGCGGCGGACTCCGTGTAGACCTGGGCCGGCAGCTTCCCCCCAACAAACAGGGCACCTCCCTGCTCGACGATGTCATCCAACTCCGCAGTTTCCGCCGTGAGGAGGGACCACTGACCGTCCTCCTCCATCCAGTAAGACCTTCGCCGTGAGTCGCGGTCTCGCCGAAGGTGCTGCTTATGAGCATCTGCATGGACCAGCTCATCTTCCATGGACCGCAGTGCCTTTTCCACATCGTCGATTCGCAGGCTGTTGTTGGAAGCTGCTTGCACTGACAGTCTCTCCTGCTGGGAGAGGTTGGCCCGTCTCAACAGGAGCCATCCAAGAACCTCAGGAGGTAAAACCTCCGGAAGATGTTCCTCTTGCTCCTGCCACATGTGTAGGTCAGCCAAGGCTTTCTGGGAGTCATCTGAGTCTGAATCTCGGCGATCTCGTCGTCGCCGTCTCCAGGAGGGGCTTCCATCTCGGATAACCTCTTCTTCGTCATCCTCTGGGCCGATGGTCTCCGTCTCTTCTTGCTCTCTAGCATCCGGTTGGGCTTCAGCATGGGGCTCTTCTTCCATCGTACCACTTGCCCGCCTGTGGGGAGAAGACGCCGATGAGGGGCCCGATCGAGAGGCTACCGGCGAGGACTTGTCGGCCCCTGGCTTGTCTGGGTCGGAGCTTCTGACTCTGGCCAGGGCAACCTGCAGAAGTCTGTATTGCTGGCGAAGGTTCGAAGCCCAGGTTGCCATAGACTGTCCAGGGGACCGGCGAAGCTTCAGGATCAAGTTCTCAAGCCTCACACCTATGTCAGGTACCGGGAGCCTTCCTAGCTTCTCTCGGAGGAAGGACAGAAGGTAGATCACCCCTTCACGTCGTACGAGGCGGGCGTGATCTATGTCCTGCGTAATAGACCACGCACGCCCGGTCAGCTGAGACACCATTTCCGGCGCCAACAGATGACGCTTGCGCCTCGATGTCCGCTCGAAAGCTAAGCGGACTCTCCTCGTGTAGTCTTGCCAGGTGGACGGCTCGCCGTCCCATGCACACTTGGTCCTGTAGTCATCCTTGCCGTCGGTCGTCATAGTCCTCGCGAACACCCGGCAAGAGCTACAGCAGGTTGAAGAAGCTCTTGTCGGAGCCGCAGCTCCGTCCCGTGCTCCTGGAGGAGGTAGTCGAAGCCACCCTTGTCAAATGAATTCAACTGCCGTGGGGTACCCACAGTAGCACGAGCCCTGATCGAGCTCCGCTACCAATCTCAAGGATTTGGTAGCTATCCACAACGTGCAGAAAACTCAGCGGAGGGGCTCACAATCTGTTTTCCACGGAAGGGTCGTCAAGACGTAGTGCTGCACAGCCGTGTCGGCGAAAAGCTTCAGGTGGCCTATGGCTTATCGAAATCCTTCAAGGATATCTAAGACTACGCAGCCGTAAAAGCAGCAAAAGGTGCACCTGAGCCAGACACCGGCAGCATCCGGAGCGTCACGTCTGCTCTCATGGCACACATGACACATCAGCGTGTGGAGGCTAACCTCGAAATGGACATATCTTTGACAAAAGTTGAAGCCGGAGGCAAGCTGGCGGTCAGGGTCGAGGGCAATTGTCTTAGAGGAACAGCTTGACTCTAACAGCAAGTCCCTCGACCAGAAACCCCGAACATCTCAAGCAGCTTGATCTCAGATTTAAGTTGGTCTTTGCGGGAGCACCATGGCATGGCTTAGATCCAACTGCAATCTGTGTTTGCGCACGGGTCTCACGGCTCCCTCTTCGCGCCCTTGCCCTTCGCGCGAGTGGCTCTTTGAGACGCGGATTTTCCGCTAATCCGGCTCTTGGAAGCTTTGATTTTTCGCGAATCTGCTTCTTTGAGGCTCTGATTTTCCGCTGATCCGGGTGGCAGTCTCCGCGGCAGCCCGAGCTGGGGAACCTGAGGCTGGGAGCTCGATGCAAGATGTGGATCCACAGCGGGGAACGACATGGTGCACAGTCGAAGGATCCAACTGTCCCCACGCCGACGATCGAAAAAATCTGGGCCGATCGGCTGATCGACAAAATGGCCACGGATCAGATGCATCAGGGCTGTTCTGACGATCGTGAAAAATAATCCCCTAATTCCTTACCCACCAGACCGAAAATTAGGGAACCTGATGGCGAGGGGTGAACAGCATGCACTTGTTCAATTCATACAAGCCTTCCGGTGCTGCAACGAAATCTTCCGGCAAAAGGGAAGCGCAGCACGGAACATAATTTCCATGGAGGGTGGGATTGAACATGAATCCTTGTTCTTTGCATCGACAGCACGAATCACTCCGCTTAACTTGCTTTTTGGTTAACATGCGTCCACATCCAGTCGTTGCTCTCTCGAGCGAGACTAAGCTCGCCACTCCGAGCTCGCCATCCTGCAGGCTGCAGGGAAGTCTGCTACGCACGGGCCGCATGTCACGGCTCCTTGCTAAAAGCTGTGGGACGGATTCCGTGAAGCGGCTCATCGCCTCGCGACGTCTCCGGAAAGCCGTGCATTGCCGCGCTGCCCCGCAGAAAAGCACTCCTGGCCTCCGAGTGCTGTCTCAATGCTGTGGGCAATGTCTGGCCCAGAGTCAGCAGAGCTTCTGTGCTCCTCGCGATGTCCTTGGCAATGCGACAGGGATCAAAAGGGAATGTGAAAAGGAGAATGCGCCTGACAGCCTGGGGCTGACCCCACTGCTTGACAAGCTGCAGCCACGTGCTGCGCAGCCAAGGCATAGGCTGCAGCCTGCCGACATGACAAGAACGCACACATGTCAAACGGCATTTGGTATGGAGTTTGCTTTGACTCGCCACCGCCAGAACCGCTTGAATGCATGCGCGTCGCCAGCTTTGGTGCTGTGATGTATTAGTCGTGGCTGAACTCGTCCAAATGTCCTGGTGTGTCCTTTTTGCAGCCTCGAGCATTCTACAAATGCAATGTGGTCGCACAGAGCTTGGCAGTCGTGCCTCCATCTCGGTCGCCTGAGATCGTGATTCCAAAACGATGCTGAAAAAAGCAGCAACTATCAAAACTAGCTACGAACATGAACCAAGCATCTTGGAATTGGAGCTTGTCGTCTAACTTGTCTGCTGCCTTTTCCTCACAAGAAATCACCACCCAAAAGGATATGTATAAGACTGCTGCACCCCATCCTCAACGAGCTTGCGCGATGGATTGTCATCCTTGATCTCGCCCATATCCTCAGCGCTAATGTCGCATCAGAACAGTGCCGGCAACTACTTTGGCAAAGTCAGTGCCTGAAAGAGCTACAGGAATTTACTGAGCACGCATGTTCGCAAATGGCAGGAGAACACTCAGAAAGACTGCGCGCTTCGACTGGCACAAGCTCTCACGCAAGATGCAGACCTCGGAGGGTGTTGGCAACGCCTGAACCTGCAAGCACGTCAACCTATCTTCGCTTCTAGCTCTTCCAAAAACAACAGGCCTCTTCTAGCTTTGTCTCCGGTGGAAAGAGGACTGCCTTTGCGGCACTTAGCAACTGTTGCTGAGCATGGCTGAGCTTCAGTGTACCGGGCCGGGGACTGCCTCTGGTTCATCCTCCTCCGTGTCCAGCGCCAATGTCTCGAAAACCTGGCTGCCAGCAGGTGTTGGAGGATGGCTGACATGCTGTTCAAGCTCCAAATCAAACTCATGTTCAAAGGATGTTCCCGATGTTCCTGAAAGATGTCCAGAAGTTGCAGACCTTGCTGTCGCTCAGCTCCATCGTTACGGGACAACATATGTTCTGGCCACCGTCCACGAAGCACCTCCGGCTGTGAGGCTGTAGCGAACTTGATAGGGTCTAAAGCTTTAGACTTTAGAGTCAGCAGAGAATATGAAATCTTCCGGCAGTTGCACGTCAAACAGTCATGCGTTGGTTGCCAGAAGAGAGCTGTCGTCACATGGTCCTCGTCGCCCACCCTCAGGTCCGGCTGGCCGTCGCTTCTGAGCCATCGCATCTGCGCTTCTCAAGTGCCCACAGGCAAAGATCTCCGACTCTGTGGCCGTGCTCATGCCAGCTCTTTGTTGCATAGCTAGTGTTCAGCGGGTTGTAACCCAGTCGGGAAAGCTTTCCGTCCTTTTCGACCTGTCGCACTATCAAACAGCACTACTTCATCGCGACATACGGGATGAATCAATGTTCTAGTTACTAGTTTCCTGAAACACCAGCCCCCTGCACACCAGAGCAAAGAGAGTTTTCCCGGCTCGAAACATCGACACGACGAGTCCGGAAACTGCGCTTTTCTGCGATGGGGGCTCCAGGTGCCTGTGATTCGTGGGCACAATGACTCAATCTATGCATAAATGATCGTAAATGGTGTAAAACACTTCCAGGAAACCACATTGCAACTACGTAGACATAGACCTCTTCAGCACAGGTTGCAGGACCAGGGGTGGCAGCGACCGGCATCAGTAGGGCTGGGAGGATACTGCAGCAGCGATCACCGCGACCGAAAGCGCTTGCTACAAAGAGCACAATGAATGGGGCACATATAAAGCTTTGTATGTGGATGCAGAAACCAGGCACGGATCAGTGGCAGAGCACGACAGAGACCGACCACAGAGGAAGAAGGAGTATGTTAAGGGACAGGGCCCTTCAGATGCGCAGATAGCATGTTTCATGTTCTGCGCTATCACAGTTGCACCTCAGCTCGTCCACGTGTGTCTTGGCACTGGGCTTTGTGGAGGGAAGATGATCTGACATCCTCAGCAGCTGGTTAGTAAACCGGAGTGCTCTGAGAGCTCTAGAGCATGAAGCAGCCATCTTAAGCCCCGTGCTCGTGCATCAGCTGGAGCAAGCTTTGATTCATTTCCTGTAGTGCCGTCGCGCTTCACCGGAATAATCTTAGTCTTAGACTTCACCAAAGCGGGGCCTTCTGAAAGTGCTCCAAGGGAAGGTCGTTGTCGTCCTGCCCAAATGGCATCTCGAGCTGGGCGGCCACCTGTGTCATGCAGAGCTTGCGAAAAGAAGGCTCTTCGACTGCATGGACCTTTCCTCCCTGGGACGCTACGAAAGGTCAAGCGGGTGTTACACTCAGTCTTGAATCCTCTTTGAAAGGGCTGGATCCCAATTGCTAGAGAAGTATGTCTACGAGATCAGTTTGGTGCCCTCGTCCTACCCACGAAGTCCAAACGTGCCCTCGTCGAGCCTCACGGCACTCTTGGTGATAACATGCCGCTTCAGGCACATCGTGCTTGCCAGTGCCGCGAGTTTGGGAGGCAGAACATCGAGTCGAGCGCGAATCAAAAGAAACCCAAGGGCGAGCTCGACATTGTCGCAGGCATCGGCTTCCCGACGCGGCACGCCCTAAACCCTAAACCCTAAATCACCAACACACGCAAAGGTGTACAACTTTGCTGGGTTATTGTCAACTTTGCATCAACTTTCCCTGAAGGTCTGGACCTGGATGACTTGGAACGTTCGGCGGGCGTCCCAAAATTGATTCTGCGTCGTCCGCATGCATGCTTGAAAACGTCTGTGCCTGAACGCGTGCATGCAGGTATGCATGCAAGGAAGTCCTTGCGTGTCCGGTGCATGCTTTTTTGAGAGTCTGAGAATGTGCGCAGCAATTGGACGGTAGATATGGAGATGGAAAGATTGATACCCATCTATACTATACAGTCTTCTGGGTATTCATAAGCACATATCTAAACGGATTTAATTGGAGGGTGGCAAACCGCAGAAACACTGACATATCATACATGTTACGAAATTTACGAACTCATGCAAACCTCTAAGCCTGACAGACGTGACGAATCCTCCAACCCACTGTTCAACAAGGGGGTCGGGAACTCTGAATCCTGGAACAGTGGGTCGTTGCAAATACAAATACAAGGCCAGCCCCAACTGGAGGAGTGGGTGCGAAATAGACAACACTGCAGACTAAGGTGAGAGTGGTAAACCATCCAAACCTTGCAGCCTGAAATATCCTGAAGAAGTGCGGATGAGCGAAATTTATCCAACAAGCGAGAAACCCTGGACCGAACTTTCACGGCTGTAAGTGACAAATGGACAAAAAGCCCTGAAACATAATCTCTGTGCTTTCTGAACCATCCATGGATGCATCCACCTCCATGGAGTAGAGTATTGAGTACCCGTCTCCGGCGCATTGGAACACACGTCGAAACAGGTAGCGTACTGGCAAGACCCCAATCAGACGCCTCTTTCCTATCCAACCCACGACTACTTTGCACAATGGACCGACGCAGTGTGCAATTTTCGCCCAAGTCTAAATCATTCAACCATACCTAGACTAACCATTTCGCACACTGCTCATTCCCCCCGACAACGCATTGGTGTAGAGCAGTTCAGGCTAATGCTTGTTCAAACCTGCACCCCGGCCTGTACGACAAAACCGTCGTAACGTCCCTGATCAAAAATCCCAGTCCCAAAACCCTGAACCAAAAGCCTGAAACGGAAGCTTCAGATTTTAGAGCTCCCAACCCTGAGATCTGTTATCTTAACCCCCGAACCCCAAAGCCCGAAATCCTAGAGCCGTAGAAATGTGTCCTGAAACTTGAAGCCCTCAACGTTAAAATTTAGAGCCTCTCAACTTTAAGACTTGTACCCTAAACCCTACAGCCTGCAACAGCCTGCAATTTCTACTCCTTAAACCGACCTAATCCCTGAAGCTGTTCTTCAACCCCAAGCCATGCATTCCGAAACCCTGAACCCCCAAACCCTGAAACCCGAAAACTTAGGACCTTCAGAGGATCTACCGTATCGTTGCATAGCTCTCCTGCCAGACCTTGATGGCCGTTGGCATTGACATGGCGTTGGTATTCCAAATCCTTTGCAAAAAGGCTCCCCACGCTGTCGAACACCCTCCCGACTGTCCAAACGACCACGCCGCCCAAACAACCACCGTGCAGCCGGGCACGACTTCCTGGTGGACTCGATTTCTAAACTACGTGAGAAGCCTGTCTTACTGACTCCCTAAGCCGCCAAGGAGGCGCAGCGCGGCAGCGACACGCGCCATGAAGAAGCAGCGGCAACCGAAAGTAAGGTCGGGCGGCGCGGCAAAGCTCCAACAAGCCACCTTTCATAGGAGCTCCACCCGTTGCCTCCAAACAGCAAAGCCCCCCTCAAAGGCCTAGCTCCGCTCAGGCTCCGCTTCCACAAAACAGCACTCTAGATCCAGTTTTCCCGTCCATAGCAGGCACATCCCAGCTGGGGCCATGGTCAATCCCCTGCCCGTTTTTCGCTCATGGCTCCTGCCTTCATAGCTCTAAACCCTAAGCTTCTACGTTTAAACCCTCAAGCTGTCGCTTCATGACACGAGCCATCCCCAATTCAGATTGTGTGCGGATGCTTCGCCCACTCTGTCTCTGCCCGAGACGCGTCCGAGAATCGTGCACACGTCACTCATCGGCCAATTTCCAGTTAGACCAGGCTGTAAGAAACAAAGGAATGAAGAGGTTGGTCCGGCTAGTCAGACGGCTTCAACTGCTGCAGCACAATGCCCGCCTGATTCAGTGCGAACATGCCAAACACCGGAACGAAGGTAACCTTGGATGACAGGCTAGTGAGTACTTGCGGCATCGTACATACCCAACACCCGAATGGAACAGCACTGGGTTAATAAGTTTCCCCAGTGAACCAAAAGCCTGATGTGCATGTATGTTCACGTCGCTATGACACTCAAGCTTGAAGAAAACATGACCAAGCACCAAGAGCCAGACCGGAGATGGCATGTACCAAAAAAACAAATTGCGTAGTAGGCACGGGTATTGCCCACTGGTAGCTCGTCATGAAAGATGTCACCTTGGCTGGCGACCACTGCTGAGCTAGTTGAGGTTGAAGCAACATGCAGGACAGTGAATTATTTTGCTCTCCTGGGTCCTTCGTCCGAAATCAGCTTTGGCCAAGTGGCCACACAAGGGGTGAAGACAGAGTGCACTACGAGAAGGATCATGATCATCTGGGCCCATGGAAATGGGAAGTTCGTATCCTGCCACAGAGCAGTCTAACGTCTAAGCGAAACAACATCGAGATCAAGAGGACTCGTAGGCAGCGACACCCAGAGGCAGCCGCCTTGATCTTCACGGCGTTCCTGGCTGCACTTGCACTTGCGACTGCTTAAAGCCGACAAGTTAAGGCCACCGGTCATGCGAAGGCGGAGGGTTTTGCTGGGCCAACACACTGAATTTCAACCAAGCAGCAAGAGATTCACGAAACCTCGTGACAGAGTCTGATAGACACCTTGATTGCAGTCTTGCAAAACTCTGCAACACTCTCAGCCAAGGCGAACATCTACTGTGTCGTGGTGCACTGTTGCTCCACCAACTTCAGCACAAGAGAACTACAAGGATACAGCGGAAAGATTCAGCTACACTCGACAGTACTTACTAATTCAATCCAGGCACGAGAGAGGATCGGCGGCGGGATGTCCAAAACACCTTCAAAAACATCTGCTGCTGGCAAGGTCAATTGCAAGCCCACTATGAGCACGATAACAACCGCTTATTCCCGCTGCTTCAGCTTCCCGCCTATGCGCAGATTGTGCGTAATGAGAACCTGCCCGGACGGAAGGCCAGCAGCGTCGCACAGACTTTCATCTGCAATATTCTAGATATCCGATGCGACTCTCAGAATAAAACTATGCAGAGCGAAACCGACCAGCAGCTAAGGATAGTTGCTCGAATGCCCCAGATGCTGCCACTTTGAAAGAGGCTTTGCTGCCTTTGTAAGACCTGGCCCTCACGAGCCAAGTCATTGAAAGGGGAAGATCCAAATCCAAAGCACGATTGAAGCAGCAGGCTCATCTCACTGCAAAAACTGTATCTGCGGTCTTTTCTCCGTGTTTCTCAGAGCACACGCAATTGCACGGACTGTGCAAAGACAGGACACGCACTATACATGTGTTCATGGTACAGTTTCACCCGTATGACGCAGACAGAAATTGCACAGCAGCTCGTGTTGCTGAATGTTGACCAGCTCACCATTCAAATCGGAACTGCTCTGCCCTGTGGCACCGGCCTGGATCATGTGCTGCAGGGCACAAACCTGAAAGTCAAAGCTCTTTCGAAGTACTTGCAGCAGGGTTCGCACAGGTGCGTTCTGCATTCGGAAAGATTCGCCTTGTTCCAATCGTACTTCAGCTTGCAATCCCGCAGGAAGCGCCTCAGGGGGCAAACGCCGAGCATAACAAAGGACTTGCTATGACAAAAAACCACCCTGGCTAAGGTTCATTGCTGGAAGCTCTTCTGGACCATCTCTTTTGCTGGAAATGCCAAATGCAAGAACCAAGATGGAAGCACTCAGGGCTCACGACAATACAATGCATTCAAGCTGCAGCGTCGCAGAGTCGAGCGACATGACGTCAATGGTCTTGCAGACATGCGAAGTGGCTTGGAAGGCTACCCGGTGATTGGACATGGGCAACCCAGACCTGTGCCTGGCTGAAACAGCTTCATCCCGAGCACCCACATCACAGGCACCTGGTAGCTCTCGTCAGTGCTGCCGCTGATCTCGTCCTTGATTCGTGTGCTCAATCGACGAAAAAGCCCACACATCACAAAAGCTTGGGTTCACCGATACGAGAAATTGCAGGATGCAGGGGCAAGCCAAAAGTGTGGTCTGGATTCCTGGAGGCTTCGACAAACGCCCGTTTCATGAGTCACAAAGCATTGGGCTTTTTGGTTCCTTTGACCCAGTTGATTCGCTGCGACAGGCTTCCACTGCCCCTACATCCTTAGTCCCGGCCCGACCAGAGTTCCCGGCGCTAATTCATCTGCGGAATGCATGTTTCCACATGGTCACTGGTACCCGGAGGTCGAAATGCTTTCCCGGAGGTCGACATGCTTTCCCTTTTAACAGCCCCTGCTGCGTCTGATCGCTTCATGTTGTTGCATCATGTTACCAGTGCAGGTTGTGGCTTCGCCCCGCTGTCCCAAAAGGGTGGCATGCTTTCGCTCTTCGTGTTCTCCCTCGCCCCTCTCTCTTCTTTCTTTCATTGGGCATAGGGGACGTATCAAGTCCCCTGGCCTTGCCCCCCCCCCCCCCCCGTGTTATGGGGCTTTGGGGGCAAGTGAAGTCTCGGTCTTCGTGAGCGGCACTGGAGGCTGAACAGACACAGTACCCCCTCTCTCCTCTCCCTCTCTTCTCCGCTTCTCCCTGTGTCTCTGGTAGTGCTGTGTGGGAAGATATAGAACTTCTGATGGCCTGAACGCGAAACGCATATGCAGAATCGTCAGGCTGTTCTTGCTGAAGAAGGCACCGTGTTTTATCCGAGGATGGGAACCAAAAAGGTATCAGATGTAAACAAATTCTTTGGGCCCGGTGATTTTGTATGGTGAAAAGGGACCACATTGAAAGAAAATATCTCGGGGAGCTTCAAAAATTTGCTCGCTGCTTTCATGAACCCGCTCAGCTCCGAACCTGCTCCGCAACCGCTCCCGCTCCGGAACCTGCTCCGGGGCCCTCTCCGATCTGCTCCGAAACTAAAAAGGCTGAAGACCCCAAAGAGCTAAAGATGTTGCGGAAAAATAAGCCCCCATTTTGTCAGTGAATGCTGTGGCCCGTTTCCTTTTCCTCTTTCTCACCGAGAAACAAAGCCCTATTTTGCTAGGCCCGGCCCCTTCTTGTTTCACCACAAAAGACACGCCACTTTCTTAGATTATTCTGTGGCCCCTTTACCGAAAAACAAAACCCATTTTGTTATTGAATGCTGTGGCCCCTTTCCCTTTCCTTTTTGCCGACAAAAAGGCCCCATTTTGTTCGTTTATGCTGGGTGGGGCCCGGCCCCTAGAAGCACCCCACTTTGATAACCTCTTGTCTGCCCCTGCACCCGAAAACCCCCATTTCGTCAGTGTATGCTGTGGCTCTTTCCCTTTCGTTTTTGATCACCGAAAAACATGTTGTGATTCCGCCGCTTTGTTAAGCTATTTTCTTGCCCTTTTCGGTTTCCTCCTTTTTCACGGACAAAATGTCCATCTTGTTAGTCTATGCTGTGGTCCGGCCCTATCGTGTTTCATCAAAACATGGCAGACCATGGTTTTAAACTATTCTCTGGCCCCTTTCTCTGTCTTCTTTCACCCAAAAAAAGAGAGACAAATCGGAAGCCTTGGTCCCTAAGATTGTTGGTGGCAGATCTGATCAAATACAGAAGGGAGGTAAACCAAAACTGATAGGGACCAGGGCTTGCGACTTGTCCCTTTAGACTAAAAGTCTGACCGGCCAGGGCTCGCGATGTGTCTCTTAAGTTCCTAAGTCTTTGGAGAACCCGGGCCAGAGCAGGGTGACATGCGATTAATTAAACGTTTTCGAAAGATCATCGCCAGAAAGGATGAAGGGATGAGGGGGGCACTCCTTGCGATTGAAGGTCAACAGCGCCTTAAAACGATGATGGGGACACTCCTTGCGATTCAAGGTTTTCTAGGGCATCATCGCCATAAAACATGAGGGACCAATCCTTGCGAGTGAAGGTTTTCTGGAGCATCATCGCCAAAATAGATGAAGGGATGATACGGGCACTCCTTGCAACAACTGAAGATTATAATTATAATTCGAACCCTAATCTTTCACATTTTAGGCTTAGGTTCTCCTCCAAAGACACGAATCGCAAGCCTTGGTCCCTAAGGTTTATGGTATAGGTTCTTCCCCCCATGGAGCAGAACTTCAATTCCAAACTCTTAGGGACCAGGGCTTGCGATTTGTCCCTCAGGGGGAACTTGGACCAAAAGCCCTAAAGACCACAGCTTGCGAAGTGCTTTCTGAAGCAAAGCAGGTGGGGGAAGGCCAAGCAACGCGAGGGGGACACTCCTTGCGCTTGAATTTTTTCCAGAACATCATCACTATCATCACCAAAAAATAAGAGGGACACTCCTTGCGATTCAAGGCTTTTTAGAGCATCATCGCAGAAGACCTGAGGGGTACACTCCTTGCGAGTGAAGGTTTTCTGGAGCATCATCGCCAGAAAACATGATGGGGACAATCCTTCTGCACGAAGGCTTTCTGGAGCAAGATGATTGGATGATGGGGACACTCCTTGCAGTTGAAGGTTTTCAGAGTACCCTAACCCAGAGAGACAAATTGCAAACCCTAGTCTTGCATGTTAGTATTGGGGGTTTAAGTTCTCTTCCAAAAAGACAACTCACAAGGCTTGGTCTCTAAGATTGTTGGTTTCAGTTCTTCTTCACTAGATAAGGACTTAAAACAAAACATGATAGGGACTAGGGCTTGCGGTGGAGAACCCGGGCTAGAGCAGGGGGGCAAGCCAAAGCAGGATGAGGGCGATACTCCTTGCACCAAAAACACATTCGGGGGACACTCCTTGTGATTGAAGGTTTTCTGGAGCATCATCGCCAGAAAAGATGAAGGGATGAGGGGGGGCACTCCGTGCCATTGAAGGTTTACCAGAGCACCGTCACCCGAAGAAAACCCGTGTCTTCAATATTCACAGAAGCCTGGCTGTTGTTAACACAAAGGCCTGGCTGGGTCTGGCTGGCAAATAAAGGGCTTCAAGTGGCACACGGTAGGGCCCACCCCTTGCTACTTAGATGCTCGGATTACAGATATTAGCAACGCCGTATTCTTTGGAATCCAGGAATCCACACCTGCTAATGGCTGCATGACGCAGAAGGACCACGGCCAAGCTCTGAGGCTGCCACCAGTGCCGAGCCATGCATCAGCGACGTGAGTCTCACCAACGTCTGCCGGAACTGACCGACCTCCTCAAAAGTGCGGGAACATGCGAGATTTTTTAAGAAGCCGCAAAAACTCTGATCCTATACAACTGACAACCCTGAATCGGAGCATAAAATTATTGAAATTGCGTAAACCACCTTGACATCGGCAAGGCCAGAAACCACGGGGTTTAAACCCTTAGGAACCCTGACACCCCCAAACCCAGAACTTGGCATGGGATGAATGGCTTCGCGCATGGACGGAATGCATGTGCTGCAGAGCACAGTTCACGCAGCACCGCTGCCAAGAGTTGCCGGTCTTCTCAGCACGCAGCATCACGCAGGATGACGCAGGTCGGCCATGCAACCAGAACTATCACACGTAGCAGCTGAAGGCCACAGAAAAGCGCTTGCAGAATGGTATGATGCTTCCTGACGCGACGGAAAGCCACACTACTTCTTCAAATCTTCAAATTCTAAACAAGACTTCCTGCAACGGCTGGCTGATCGCTCCAGCATAACCGACTGGTGGGTGGGTCTCTCCCAGCTGCAGGCACCAGCTCCAACCCAGCACCAATGTTTCATTCCTGGACAGCGGAATCTGCCTGTTGCCTGATCTTTCCTGGCAGGGTGGTCACTCTGCCGCAACAGTCCGCGTACTGCAGGCGACACCAGGGAGTACGACCTCCAATCCGCGCAATGTTGGCAGCTGGGGCGGATGCAGCATCAAAAGGAAGGCAGCCAACATTTGGTGTGAATCAAGCTCCGAGTTTGTCGAAGTTGTCTCAACTCCTGCTCAAGCGGGCTTCGAAACAATCACAGTACAACGAGTATGCCGTCCTCGCCAACACCAGCAAATTCAAACGGCCCAACCAAAACCATGCTATGCGG